ACCCCCGCTCTCTCTCCCACGATCTCCCCAGACAGCCCCATGATACCCCCGCTCAGCCACGGCATAGCCCCCTCTGCCTCTGCCATCTTGACCTTCTTCTCGAATGCCGGCCAGGGAAGTCTGAGAGTAGGCCAGTTAAGCAGGGTGGAAGGGGATACTGGCACAGTCTGAGTACAAAAGGAAGACGGGCTTGACAGCGAAGCCAGTGGTCAGCTCCTGGTGTGTGATAGAGGCACAGTCTGCGTAAGGGGGGCTGCTGAATAGGGCTGGGTTAACTGATAATGGACGCTCCAAGAATGGGATGGGTGTTACTAGCAGCTCCAGGGGACGACGGAGTCCCAGTCCAGCAAGACAAATGACCACAGCCCCAGGAAACAAACAAAGAACAATTGCTGATCTACAAGATGTATCAACGGGACGCTGGACCCGGTTTCCAGCAGGTGCAGCTCCCCACTATAAAATGGAGCCGCCCGATCACTGTACATAGCAACTGTAAAGAGATCCAATAGGATAGACAGGAACAAACAGTAACAATCTTACAAGTACAGAATGACAGACAAACAAATAAACAAACAAATAAACAGACAAACAGCTCAGCACAAACTACATTACAACCGATAGCTAGTACAGAGTACATAGCAACGGCATAGAGCTCGAATTCTCCCACAATCTGATTGTTTTCATAGTCAACATGGTTCACATTGTAAATTACATTGCAATCGAAAGATTAGTATAGGCTACAGGCCCACTAACCTGTCACGACCTTATTGCTATCGTAGCTGACATGGATTAAATCCAACCGTATAATTGCAATTTAAATGTACTTGATAGGGACGTTGGACCCGATTTCCAGCAGGTGATGCTCTTCACCAATAGATGGAGCCATCCCGGCACTGCTAGCAGTCGCTCGGGCTGTTTCTTAAAAAAAAAAAAAAAAAAAAAAAAAAGGAACGCCCCCCGATTCAACCCGACAGCAACATGTCCCGCACAAGGCCGTGCTGAGGCCTACGGACATGACCTCAGCTTGCAGTGATGATGAGCATTTGAAAACAGCGAAAAGAATGCACAGATTCGAATGAACATTTCCTCCACCTACATGACATCCTGAGGATTTTATCCTGTTCATCGTATTTCATCTGGGTTCGAACTTGTCCCAACTGAGCTACGCCTTGACAAGGGTCTCGTACGAGCTACACATGACCACAGAAGCGCTCGCCCCAGCAGCCCACCCACCTAAATCTTCCCCTGCACCCCCTTCCGAGGGCCTCTACTTCTTGCGGAAACGATCTCATGCGCGGCACACCGACACCACACCCGAGAGTGCTTCCCTCCTCCTTGAGCTGCCAGCCTATCTGACAGCGCATCTCAGCAGCTAGTGGAGCCGTGGGGACCACATATGTGTCACGCATCAGGTATATCCTGCTATCGCCCAAGAACCTGGCCTTGGGCGGCAACATGCCCTTTGTTTTTACGACCTTGTGGGGAAGCAGATTCCTCAAGCCTGCCTCCATTGACAGAAACCGGTGATTTCATAATGGCCCAAAAATGGAAAGTCAGGATTTTTTTCAACGTACCGTAATCAGCACTTGTCCTCTCCTTGTTGCCCACTACCCTTCTGCGCAACAGATGTCGAGTGTGTGCAAGGCTAATAAGGAAACCGCTCAAATGCCTAATAATCGGCAGATAGCAGCATCGGCCCCTCGCATCGGGGCCTAACGTTTCCCGTTTCAGTCTATACTACTATGTCTAGAACACTTGGGGGAAAGTTTAGCATGCCCAGGGCTGGCAATATAGCCATAAAAAATCACCTGCAGATCTGTGGGCCCTGCCACGAAATGTCTTTTGATCAAACGATCCTTTGGCTGATGGTGTTTCATACAACCATACACTTGCCACTGTTGCCCCCACCTTACCCTAGACTGCTGGTTGCTCTCCTTACCTCCTCGTCGTCAGTGCCTTTCGTTGTCATCAGACAGAGTTCACTTCTGTCACATGCACGTGTGGAACACAAGAGAGGTGAAATGGAGTGGAGTAAATCATAATTGAAAGTCACATAGTGACCCCTATACCTCAAGCAGGTTGAAGAGGATCTTGACCGATTCGATGTGGAGAAAGGTACTCTCAGTGTGGATGCCCATTGTTTGCGCCTTCTCAAAAAGCAGAACGCTGAGGTTGCGCTGAGCCTCAATGTGGCCTTGCTCAACCCAGTATTCAGCAATGGACGGATCTTGGTTAATGCCACGCGCATCCGAATAAGCAAATAGCAAGCCTGTTCTGTGCCTCCTGCAGGCCCTGGCAAGTGGCTTTCTGAAACCATTTCACAGTTTCCGTATCCACCTTCTCAGCGGATGTCCATTGTTCGCGCCTTCTCAAAAAGCAGAACACCGAGGTTGCGCTGTGCCTCAATGTGCCCTTGCTCAGCCGCTTTGCGAAACCAGTATTCGGCAATGGCTGGATCTTGGTTAACTCCACGCCCATCCCGATAAGCAATAGCAAGTCTGCTCTGAGCATCCTGCAGGCCCTGGCAAGCGGCTTTCTGAAACCACTTCACAGCTTCCTTATCGACCTGAGGCACCCCCATTCCGCACCAATACATGTTGCCCAGTTTGTGCTGGCCCCAAGCATCACCCTGTGCTGCTGCTCTCTCATACCAATTCTTGGCCTCCAAGGGTTCCTTGGGAACCCCTGCGCCTGTCTCGTAGCAGAAGCCTAGATGCTTCTGAGCCATGGCGTGGTCGTTCTCAGCTGGGAGAAGGAAAGCAACCACAAGAAACACATTAGCCAAGAGCCAAAGGCTTAGTTGGTACACCCATCATGACCCATGAGCTTACCAAATACAGACCTGAGTTCAAACCCAGACGAAACTAGATAAATGAAATTCTTGAATTACCTGGGACCGCTTAGTTCCACGATGATATGTCAAGGCTGTCTCCCTTTCATATATCCAGATAAAGGAAAGGAAAAGATTTCAGAAAAGATTTAAAAAAAACAGAACAAGGTATTAGCCAAGAAGGAATATGGGCACCTAGAGCACCAACCTGAAGTTGCTGCAGGTCATATAGGTTCGTTGAACCCTTTATTTTTTAGGGGGGGGGGGCAACGCTCCAATCGATTCGTGGGGAGCTGCACGTGCTGGGAACCGGGACCAGCGTCCCATTAGAAAACATATTGGAGAACATATACCATGGTAACCCTGGACCCGGACACCGGACACTTCCGGACTGTCTTCCGGACCAGTGTCTGGACCGGTCCGGACTGTCAGGTGATCCGGACACTACCGGACACCTGGACATCACCAGGCCCGGACAGTCCGGACCGGTACCAGGGTTGCAAAAATGTCCGGACCAAAAAAAAAAAACAAAAAAAAAAACGTGGGTGGGGGGCGGTGGGGGGTTGGGGGGTGGGCAGGGGTGTTGGCAGGCACTTACCTGCTTTGCACTTTGTAGTTCAGGCAGCAGAGCACGTGCCTTGCAGCAAATCAACAAGCGCATTTAACTAGCAGACATGCAGAGTCGCAAACGGTGCGCAGGACTAAAGAAACAGAGATTTTTTTTTTCTTTCAAGTATGATTAACTTTTAACTTCGAACTTTGGATTTAATAATTTAAGTTCATAACTTCAGGTATAACTTAAAGTTCGAACTTTGCAGTGCAATTCAGAACGTCAGAGTCTTCGGACTGGCAGCACTGTCAGTGCTCTCTCTCTCTCTCTCTCTCTCTCTCTCTCTCTCTCTCTCTCTCTCTCTCCAAAGGGCAGCAGCGCCGGGCGCCATGTCGAAATGGCCACTTTCAAATTGCTCGGGCCTGTGTGAAACCCACCACCCCAAGAACCTGCAGTGTCTTGTGTCCGGACCTCTAGGCCCTGTCCGGTGGGGTGAAACGACACTGAAAAATCACCCCGTTATTTTCGAGGGGCGGCCAGGACCCGATAAATGTCCTGAGCCGCCCCCTTTCTTTTTTTTTTTTTTTTGCCGTAGGGGCCTCCATCCGGACATCAGGACCGGACACCAGACATCGGACACCAGACTGTCTGGAACCCGGTCCGGACATCCGGACGGTTACCATGACATATACGGAAAAAGTTGAGATACCGGGACCATTACCCGGCTTCGCCTGAAAATAGGATCATGAGCAATTTCCATAGCTACACCGGACCGGCCGGACCCCGGACCCCGGACCTCCCGGGCCCATCCAGACTTCCGGAAACCGGAATATTCCGGAATGTCCGGACCGGTCCGGATCCTGGTCCGGATCCCCTATATTGTCTGGAAAAAAAAAAAAAAAAAAAAAAAAACGCCTCTACTACTACTCCTTCTCAGTTAAAGCGTGTTATCCATGTGCAGGGGCCATGCTAATCTTCTCCTTCCAATGTTAATGAATGTCCCAAGGGCAAGATTAGCATGGCCCCTGCACCAAGATGACACGCATTAATGGGGAAGTGGACCAAATAAAAAATAAATAACCCAAAAAGGAGGAGGAGGAGGGGGAGGAGACGAGGAGGTGGAAGACAAGAAGAGAGGAGGAGGACGACAGAGGAGCACAGAAAGAAAAAAATTGGGCCCACGTGTTCCTTATTGAATAGTATTTTTCCCAAAGGACCCCAGCAGTGCATCTGCAAGGGTCCAATATCTCAAGAGACGTTCGGCAAATTTCATGTGAGACCGGAGCAGGCCAGCAATATATGTTCTGGATCCGAAGTCAGGTCTGTTTTCCAGCAGTTATGGGTCACAAGTTACAACTACTTGCTACCGTAGCTCTCTCTTTTCTTTTGTTTCGTTTTCCTACGAGCAGCGGCCCTAGGGGCCTTGCTCCACTGGTCACTACTTGCACAAAAGACAAAACATATGGCGGCGAATGGTTCCATGTTCTAGCAGAAGGTTCATTCCTCTCTTTCGTTTGTTTCGTTTTCCTACGAGCAGTGGCCCTAAGGGCCGTGCTCCACTGGTCCTACTTGCACAAAAGACAAAACATATGGCAGCGAATGGTTCCATGTTCTAGCAGAAGATTCATTCCTCTCTTTCGTTTGTTTCATTTTCCTACGAGCACTGGCCCTAAGGGCCTTGCTCCACTCGTCACTACTTGCACAAAAGACAAAACATATGGTGGCGTATGGTTCCAATGTTCTAGCAGACGATTCATTCCAACTCTTTCTTTTGTTTCCTTTTCCTAAGGGCCTTGGTACTAAGGGCCTTGCTCCTCTCATCACTACTTGCACAAAAGACAAAACATATGGTGGCATATGGTTCCATGTTCTAGTAGAAGATTCATTCTAGTTTTGCACATTTGGTGAGTAGTGGAGGGAAGCCCTGAAAAGCACGTGGTGAGTTGGCCTGCTACTGCCCAGAAACTCGAGTCCTCAGTAAAACACGGACCTTAATGTGAATCCACAGCATATATACTTGGCGTGCCATGACCCTAGCATGGCTATGAGTACTACTTAGTTCATGGTGAGAAGGTGCTTGCTAATTATCTGCAGGAGCCTCTTGGGTAACCCGCAGGGGTTTTCTAATAAATTATAAGGGGCTATTTATTTGCTCTCTCTCTCTCTCTCTCTCTCTCTCTCTCTCTCGTGTTCTCACACATAACAGCGACTTCTTTTTTTTTTTTTTTTGCACATCGGTGACCACCGCACTGCTCCGGGTGCATCGCACACTTGCGCCGCAGGTAGGAAACAAAACCAAAGTTACCAAACCCCCTGGTAGACTTTTCGGGCCTTCCGGATCGTTGGCGAGGGGGATAAAAAATCAGGCACCATTTTTTTGGGGCCACCCAGGGCATGAACAAACGCCCTGGACCACCCAAAAAAATTTTGCCCGTTGGGCTGGGGCCCCTACACATCCGGACCGACATCCGGACCCGGACTCCGGACCACGGACGGTCCGGATCCCTGTCCAGTGGTCCGGATCGTAGCCATGGCATTTCTAGCGGATGCTTGAAAAACTACGAGACCGGAGGGTCAAAACTGAACCCACCTGCTATCCAAACCTCCCCCCCTCAACAGACAAAACATCGGTCCAGGCTTTCAGTCCTCGTACCAGAACTCACTTAATCTCATACCCCCTTCTGCTAGGGTAACAGGGCACCACAACCTTCCCCAGTACTGACCAACCTAGTTCTGACGGACAGGAAGTGCCTTCCTCCCTCGAGATGAACCCATTTTGCAAGTAGGCAAATGTACTATTTTTTCTCTGCTTTATAAAGCGGATAACTGATTGTGTATCAGCAGGATTTGAACTAATGATCTTCATCAATAGCTTCATGTGCACCATTAAGCCAACGGGCAGGTACAGGAGCACATAATACTTGGATGTCTGCTAGATTGTGGTTTTGCACAATTGGACACGGCTTTTTATACCCTGCAGAAAAAATGAAAAACTGAAGCAGAGGTGAACGAAGCGGCCAAAAGGATTACTGAGAAACGGATGAAAGCAGCGATCTTTTTCTTTGACTTTGAGAAGGCCTACGCCCAAGTCAACTGGGATTTCCTTCACACTTGCATGGAAAAAATGGGAGTCGGCCCGAATTTCAGAAAGTGGGTCTGGGTACTGTATGCTGACGCAACTGGCAGAGTGCAGGTCAATAGGATCCTATCGGAGACCTACCCCATCTCCAGGTCCGTAGGACAAGGAGATCCCCTAGCACCCCCCACTTCCTCTTCATCATGGAAGCCATTGCATCCTCCGCAAAGACCCGTGGGGGCTATGGAGACCGGCTCACCGAACGGAATTTCAACCCACTGCACAACTTCGCCCTACCCACTGCACTGATGTTCACAAGCAATCTCACAGTCCTTATCAGCGCTACAAACAACTTCCAAGCTCTCGCCAGGGCTATGCAGGCTTTCCATCTAGCGTCCTAAATGAAGGTAAGCTGGAGCAAAACCGAAGGATGGTGGCTTGCAGACGGGACACCCCCCCAATATCTAGGTATCATGGTCAACAAAGATGGCGTGTGGCCAGGAATGGATCCGAGCCTAATTGCCAAAACAGAACTCGCCTGGCCCCGCGTTAGAACGCACCTACGTGACACCCGCGGCCTAGGCCGCGGGCAATTCGGCCGCCGCGACCGGAAAAGTCAGCCGTGGCCACGGCCAGGGGCCAAGTTTGCAGCCCAATTTTTTGGTAAAAAAATACCTGAAAAAAAAACAATAAAAAATAAATAAATAAATAAAGATATATACGGGGTTGTAGGGTTTGCAAAACCCTACAACCCCATATATATTTTTTATTTATTTTTTTGAATTTATATACGAATTAAAAAAATGAAAAACAAAAACCGGTAAAAAAAAAGCAGGATTTTTTTCATGGTAACCCCGGACCCGGACACTCCGGACTGTCTTCCGCACCAGTGTCTGGACCGGTCTGGACTGTCCGGTGATCCGGACATTACCGGACACCCGTACATCACCGGACCCGAATAGTCCGAAACGGTGCCAGGGGTGCACAAG